TGTTTGAGAGTATAATGGCATGAAGACAGATATTTGAAATAGAAGATGTCAGATTGGATCTAATTTTTGAATAAACGTATAATTTCAGTTTCAACTTAGTGGTTAAGACTTGTACATGCATGACTGCATGAAGAACCAGAAGCTACTCTTCATATTAGTGACAAACTTTGACATTTTTTGACGGGTTGCTTTCATTTTTGCTTCTACTTTTCATTTGAAATAGGTTTTAATTCTCGGCAGGTTTCCAAGGTTCTTCTTCTACATATTAAAAAAGTTGGTAAAGATCTGAGTGGCGCACTACTGCTACTAGTGGTGAGATAGTGTATTGCACCTTATTCAAAATCAATGGGGTCCCACGACCCTCTGCGGCCCAAAGTTAAAAACTGTTGTTCTTCTGAGGCCCTCAAGGTGGCGCTCGGCCCATGGGTTAAGAATCTCTGGTCAAGACCACCTAACCCGAGAAAGGGGGCCGAGAAAAGAATTTTGCTACAGAGGCAGACTGTTAATGTTAGTGACAATAAAAGTTTAACGTTGTTCCCACTCTATCTGAAAGTGAAGCACTGCAGATTTTACAAGTTGCTGTGCGCTTTCTCCTGGTTATTGTTGTTTTACAATAATATTATTTATGATTCATGTAGTCAAATTGTTTTACTTGAAATTCTGAAGACATCTTCTCACTTTCCTGGAGTGCCACGTGCAAGTTGGGGTGGGGGTGTAATGGGTGACAAAATCATACAGCTGGTAACAAAAACACATAAATAGCAATGACTCAGGTTTGGATTTGAATCAGTAGCTACATTTTAAATCAAATGAAAGCAAGCATTTTAACTAATAAATTGGACAATAATCGGGCTATTTAGTGATATTTCCACATTTGTGATCTTGAAATAAAATTCAGAGTCCTCAGTGTCCGAGACCGAGTACAAATGCTGTCGAGTCCGAGACAAGACCAACAAAAAGTGGTCTTGAGACCGGTCTTAAAGTGCCTGTGACATGCATATTCTTCAAATACAAGTCAAAGAAAACATCTTTATTTTTAAGAAAATTGGAATAATAAACAGATTTAACCCATTTTGTCCCATAACTGTTATATTTTCTTTTGAACTTGGATCAGCCAAAGTGAAACAGGAAGTGACATCAAAGGGGAACTCTTGTTAATTGAAACGTTATTTGAACACTGACTCATCTTCATCTCTCTGACAGTGACTCAAAATAATCTAAAGAAACATCAGATTCTTCTCTACAGTCTGTTATCAGCTGTTGTAGCAACGCCCTGTTCACATGCAGACATTCCCCTTTGACATCACTTCCTGTTTCTTCACAGGCAAATATCTCAACAACTGTTCATCTCAGTGACATGGAATTTATTTTGCAATATTTTATCAACGTCCTCTTTCTAAAAATGCATTCATATGTATGACAAAAATCTGACGTCACAGACACTTTAAGACCAAGACTGGTCTCAAGTACTACAAAACTACTTACTGCTCCTTTAAAGTATTTTATTTCTGCTTAAAATTTAACTTAAACTTATATCACTACATGTTTCAAAGGGAAAAAATGATCTGACTGCTCTGGTTATCTAAGTTTTTTGTTAATTTCCTGCGAAGTCAAACTGTATTTTCCTCTAAATGTGTGAAAGTTGCTTCCTGTCTTAGAATATGTCTTATGAATTTCCTTTTTTTCTGGTAAAATAAATGTTTAAATGACAACAATTACACAAATAAATACTCCCTGTTTGGAGTTTACAGAAATGTTGCTTTTGAAGATTTTTTTCAACATGTTAATTTTCAGCTTATTTACCTATATGTTTAACACTTTACATTAATATTTTTTGTCACACAAACATTATATTTCCAGGTGATGTTATTGTGTTTTGTTTGTGTTTTTTCAGTGTAACGTACCGTGCGGGGATGGAACCCAGAGACGGGACATCATTTGCGTGAAGAAGCTGGGCAGTGACTTCAGCGTGGCCTCAGAAACGGACTGCGCTCACCTGGAGAAGCCGGCGGCGGTGCAGGAGTGCAACCTGGGCGAGTGTCAGCCTCAGTGGTTCACCACGGAGTGGAGCGCGGTGAGAGACGGGGAAAAATCATAAAAATCAAAATGACAGCACGCTGCTTCCTGCTCTATTTAAACCGTGGGTTGTTTTTGTTGTTCTTAGTGTTCCCGGTCCTGTGGGAGGGGCTTACAGGTGAGAGAAGCTCGATGTCTGACACCTGACAAACATCACAGCCAAGCGTGCGACCTCAACACCAAACCTGAGCAAGAACAGATCTGCAACACGATACCCTGCGGACCACAAGTCGCAGGTGGGTGTCTGTTGGAAGGGGGGTCATTTAGCAGAGGGGTTCTCAAGTAATTTTGGTCTGGGGACCCCTTACAAGGGCGAAAAAATTCCAGGGACCCCCTCATAAACCCCGTGCTGTTTTAAAAGGTAATTTATTGTCATTTCAACCCCTAAATGCCATGGGAATATATATTTTATTAAGTTTATTATGTTTGTTTTTTTAGTTCATTGTTCTCCATGCATTTTTAAAAATAAAAACCAAACTAACAATTTAGTGGAATTTTTTGAGGACCCCAAAGATACCTCTCACGGACCCCAGTTTGAGAACCTCTGATTTAGCAGATCAACAAAGAACGCAGGTTTAACTTTGTGTGTTGATAACTTTTGAACAACAAGAATGATATTGCAAAACTGATTACATCAGTTGATTTATGAAACAGTTCTGTCTTTTTTGATCACCTGCTTCCCATTAGTAAAACGTGACAATGGTCCTGTCCCAACACCCACACTCCCACCCTATTTCCGCCCTTGTGCACTTCAAATGTGTGGTCATGTTGAAGGGTTTGAGTGTGGTCCACATTCTCCACATCCGCCCTTAGCCCCGCCCATTTGGGGTACTATTTCCGCCCTTCCGCGAAGTCTGCATTTTAACGAACTTTGGTGAAGTGTATTACCCACAATTCATTGCTGCCAAAACAGCGACCATTTTTAATAAAAAAAAAACAACTTTATTGAACATTCGAACATGGTACAAAAAATAACAATGCTGCCAGGGGGAATGAATAACTCAATGAAAAAAGAGGAAAAAATATGTATAAATATGTGTAATAATAATAATAATAATAATAATAATAATAATAATAAT